TTTTAACATAAGACAATACAAATTTAAGTGCTTTCTGTTAAATACACAGAGTAGTTAGTGTCGATTTACAGTATATTCAGCCTATTCATTTACTATGCTGAAAATTTAGTTTATCCAAATACTTGTGAATTTCATTTTGCTGAATACTATATAGTTTTGTTGAATATCTAAATATTCAGCTGTTGAATAATTACTTCTTGCTTTCAAGATATGCATTATTTGTATTCTTAATACAAGTGGGGGAAAAAAATTAAGAGGTAAAAATTGTTTTAAAATGATAAGTGTAATAATTATAAATAAATATAATAAACAATATGAATTATATTTATCATTATTCACAAATATAACTACTTTTAAATTCAAATTAACATACTGGATAATAAAGATATTCGGTATAACATTAAAAAAAATTTTCATACACTTGTATCAAGTTTGTATTTATACAACATAACTTGTAAGTTCCTTATAAATATTAGTTATATGTTCCTTATATGTCAAAAATGCATAGTAATAAACTTTTAATTTTCTTAAGTATCAAAAAAAAAATTTTTTTTTTCAAAATATAAATATTTAAAAAAATTTTGTGCAAAATTTTTCTGCACATGCATTTGAATATAAATTTCTGAGATTTTAAATCTGTTATTTTACCTTAATTTTAATTAAAAAATATTTTAAAACCTGCTGATTACTTATAGTATAATTAAATTTCAATATAATGCATGGCAACTGTTGGTAGTTTTGAAGTTTATATATTTTCTTGGCAAACTTCAGTTTTTGACATTTTTGACGGGTTTTTGACGGTTTAAACCAGTATTATACCCTTGTCATGTCAAAAACCACTTTTTGACGTCAAAAACCCAACCCTGATTGCAAAGTGAGAATTTCTGTCAAGGTAGGCATGTTCACATCAAGTCTGTGTCACCAATGTGGTGTGGGTTAATGTTCAGGAGACTAATCATTAGAGTTTACATTATTTTAGTATTTATTAACGTATATAGTATAAAGAAGAAGAGGAATATAAATAAGCACAGTGCTTCAGGCTTCATTCGCCAGAACAATTTTAATTGTTTATGTCGCATGACGTGCTATGTTCCTTTGTATTCCTCTTCCTTATTAATATTTACTATGTTAATAAATACTAAATCTTTTCCCTCGCACCATTCACTTGGACAAGTAACAAAAAACTCAAAACAAAAAAAATTTAGTCACTGAAGTTTCTAACCAGTGACAACATTTTTTTAACATCTAACATTAATGATTAATTCAAAAAAATCGTCTGTCTCTTCCTATATGATGAATTAAAAGACTACAGTGTTATCAAGTTTTTAATTACTACCATGCTTTTAATTTCACTAAAATTCCTCTGCTTAAAATTTAGAAAATTACAATGAAGGGATAGATAACAAAACAATTTTTTTATACTTAAATTAATATGCTAGCAAAAATAATTTTGCTTCAGCCTATAGATTTAACACAAAATATGAAATTCAGAAACTTTTCATGACACACAATTTAAATGCCAGAATCAAATGATTTCGGATTAGGAAACATTTAGTTTATGGTTAGATGTTATACTTCATACCATTAAAAGAAAATAAGGCCTTCTGTTTTTGCAAAGGTGTGTAATAAGAAATTAGTTTTTTAATTAGTTTAAATTAAAAAAAAGAATATAAAAGTTTTATCAAAAAAATATGCTTAAAAATTTAAACAGTATTCCTAACCATTTTGTTGATAGGAACCTTATATACTTGAAAAGGCTAAGAGTATATTTGTTCTCTGTGAATACGCCAGAAATCAAAGACGTGATGCGGAAAAGAAGTTATGATGCCCGAGACCCGTAATTTTGCATCTGATTTAAGGAAGAAAAAAACATAATTTGAGCATATTAATTTTGCCATTATAGGCTAAATTACATGGTATTTTTTTTTTAAATATATAAATAAAACGCTATTAGTGCAGCTATTTGATCAATTGTAAGTAAGAGCCATGATTCCTCAAAATTATAATTTCTGTCTAGTTTTAGATATCTTTGTTTTGTCTACTTTATTTTTTAAACATCATTTGAAGTGCAAGTTAATATTATTTCACACAGAATTTTATAATTTCCCAAAGTTCTATAGTATTACCCAATATTAAGCTTATTATTTAAAATTTTTACTTTTAAGGTTCATTCAGCTTAAAAGTTAAACATGGTTGATAATTTTTTATGAATTGATTTCTTTCAATTTCAGATAAATTAGTTTTTTAGTCATAAATTATGCTAACTTATGAGTTAATAAAAGTTATTTTCTAATAAAATAACTTATCTAAGAAAACAACTTCACTTGCTGTGTGCCTAACATTATTAGCTCATTTTTAAATATTTTTACATAAGAGTAACATACGAAAAAATTTAATTCTCATTGAAATGGTTTTATCCTTCCTTTAAGAAAGTGTTGTTTTAAATGATTAATACAGCATTATACGTATTTACATATGAGTGTGTGCATATGAAAAAGAAGAATGTCAGATTTTATTGGTTTTGAAAAATATTACCAGATTTTGAACTTTAATGAAAATTTTTGTTTTAATTCTTTGACAAACAATTGCCAAATCAATTGCTAATTGCAGTTTTATATTTTTCTAGCCATAAAATCATTTTAATGTATTTTTTTAAGGGATTATTTTTATTTGAGACCTGACAGAGGAAACTCAGAGAAAACCAGGGCCCACCCAGGGTTGTCACACCAGTGAAGAAGAGGTTTAAGTCTTGCAGAACTAAAGGTTCTTGATTGCACAAGGAAATGGGAACAAATGCAATATATAAGTTTGATATCAAACAGTACATTTTTGTATAACTTTCCAGGCACTGAATTCAGATAAGTTATTATATTAAGACCTCTTTAATGGTTCTTAAGCTATTTGTTCCAAAAATCATATATAATACTGCATATAGATAGGCCTGTGTATATCACGGACGAGAGTTTCGTTTTTCAAAACTGGCTAAATAAACATTTCAGTTGTTTTCTTTCGCTAATTTTGTAAATATTCTTCAATTTTTGATTAATTTTTCTACTTTTTTTTAAAAAATATATGCAATTTAATTACACATTTTGTTTTCAAACATATTTTTTTTTATTAAAGGATAAGGTAAAGTATCTATTACAGCTATGCAATAAACAAGTTTATTTAGTAGAATTATGACTTCATAAAAAAAAAATTTATTAGAAGTTACAAATACACTAACAAAAAAAAAAAAAGGAGAGACAAGAAAAGATTACAAATAATTTCGAAAATATTTAACATGCAAAATGAAATATTTCTAATATAGAATTTGTTCTTGTTAATTATTAATTAATTATGAGTCTTTGAATGAATATAAACTTATTTATTGCTGGTTAAAATAAAAAAGTCCTAATTCTAAAACCCCAACGTTCTGTAGAACATCTTTTTTGAACCACTGATCTAATACATAATATATATAGAACAGTTAACAATATATTAATAAATTTACGACCTATAAATTTTTTTACAAATCTGTTTCAAAATTATCTAGTAGATATTCGTTATATCTGAATGACTTAAGAGGACGCCATATCACAAGAGAAACTTTTTGTCTTAAATTCTCTCTCTTCTCCGAAACTAATATGAAATTTTATGTATAGAAAAAGTGAGTTTAGACATACCTTGAGTAAGCTATGAAATTACAAATACAGAAAAGAAATTTTTAAAATATAAAAATGAAAATAAATTATGAGAAGATAACTTAAGATCACACAATGGAGAAGTTATCTTCCAATAATTTGCTTGCGTTTTGATATTTTTTTTAAGCAATTGAAACTTCAAGGCTTTCTCTAGCTTTTCCTGAATTAGCATTTTTTTCTTTTTTGGAAATAAGTCATGAGGATGAAAGAGAATTTGTGACAAAAAGTTTTTTTCATGATAAGGCATCCTCTTAGAAGTATATTTATTCATCATACCTTTTTTTTTTAAAAAATGATTCATCTATATTTTTACTACATTTAGAAATTCTTAAAAAGCTTTCTCTTTGCACTAAAAATAAATAAAGCAAGACTTTCATTTTTATTAAATTTTCAAAATTACATTCTGAAAGGAGAGAGCTAATAATAATAAAAAATAAATTAAAAAAAATTATTCTATTGCATATATATATATATATNACAAAAAAATAAATGATATTAATAATAAAATTAAAATAAAGCCTTTTGAAGAGAAAAAAAGTAACCATTCTAAATGTAAAAGTAGAAAAAAAATTCTCACAGCATCTTATCATACCTTTTAAAAGTTAACTAGATAAATAAAATGTATAAGAATAATTATGGACATTTAGGGAAAAAATACAAATATAAGGGTTTTTTAAAGTTAAATGAACATCGATTTAAAAGTATTGATAAAGCTACAACGGGTTGTCATTGCATATAAATTGAAAATATGACCAGGTGTTAGGTACTGTTACCTGTTATTAAATTAGACGGCGATGACAAAATCGAGGCGCGCAGGCGCAATTCGAAAAACGGGACTTTTCCCTTTCGAAATTAAATTCTATTTGGCAAAAACACATCTTAAAAATATTTCTTTCGAATTAAATACACTTAATAGTGCATCAAAAATTAACTTTATAAGATTCGATTAATATTCTTAATTCTTTATTAATGATCTTCGATGATGTTTATGTTTCGTTGTAACATGTTAATCAAAATTAAAACAATAAGACATAAGTGGAAATTGGTGAAAATATTCATATAAGGTCAATTATATTAATTGAAATATTACGCAATTCAAGAATTAAACACGTCAGAAGTGTTTAAATAACAAAGGCGTAATTAACAAAAGCGTTTCGCAAAAATAAATAATCGAGACTTTAAATACAAAATATCAAATTAAAAACTCTAAAAGGAGAACAATAAAAAAAATTTTAGACAAAATTATATTTATAAAGTAGCTATTATATAAGAAAAAATAACATTTTCCTGCTATCATAAAAGTTTCAGTTTACATACCCTTGATTCCAATTAACAGACTGAAAACTAGGGCGAAACAAATTAAAGCCGGCATTGTAGGAAAAGTCTGTAGTTTTAACTTTTTCAGATCTTTAAAATGATATTATATCGTATCATTAAACGTTATCACCGTATTTCCAAAAAGCCGGATTTAATTCATCACTTCGCATCGTAAAATGCGCCTTCATAGGAAAAGCAAACAAAACAAATAATAAATCAAATCAAGCAGACCACATGGACTGACAAATATGATATTGTATCGTTAACTTTATCGATCTTGTCATCGAAAAGTTTTAGAAATTCTCTTTATTTTTAAAAACAAAATAACGAACGATATGGAAATTATTTTTCGTCTAATTTGAAATTTAATCTGTTATCATCTAATCTGTTAAAGTCTTAGAAATTTCTGGTTCTAATAAAAAGTTTGAGTTTGCATTTTGTAGTCATAACCGTTCAAAGTGTAAAAAAATGTAAACAAAACTAACATGAAAATTAACTTACTCTTCCCTAATCTCAAGATTTTAAGTTATATTAAAATTAACTATAATCGTTAAAAATTAAATTCTACTAATTTTACTATTGCATGAATAATTTCTTTTAAAAATGCGATTGACAAGTATCCGATGTCAGATAAATTATCATCGGCACGTTAAAAGAATATGGAAACGACAAGGACGTTTGCAAGCTGAAGAGCTTATTATTCCTCCTGCTTTAATTGAGATGGGAGTTCCAGTTTTAGATGCAAAAGAAGTATTGCAGGAAACTAAATTGTAATAATTTGCCTTTCCTTAATCTTTTATTTCTTAACTGAAAATTGCACACTTTTTACACTGGTTGGCCACACTCTCTCTCTCTCTCTCTTTTGAAAAAGGAAACCCCCAAGATAATAAAAACATTAAGAATACCTCTGCAAGTTCTCAGAGAAATTTATATTTAATTCTAGCAACTCACGGAGTATAGCGATTGTAATGATCACACAACCCATTAATACTCTTTTATACTACCAATCATAATAAAATCTCTATCCAGTGGTACTAATTATTTTTTTTTCTTGTTATTGGTTGTAATTTAATGAATTGTTCTAATTCATAATTTGCCTTTTTTTCACATGCTAATAAAGAAGTATATTTGGATTTTAAGTTGATGTTATTTATAACTTTCAGATTATAAGTATTTTTTCCCCTTTAGTTTTTAAAGTTTGCAGTGGCGATATGAATATATTTAAACTAACATTCAACTTTAAATGATTCCTCATATTTTCTTAGGTTGTAACAGATTGAAATAACTAATTTCATTAACTCAATTATAAATAAATTTTTCCCAAAAAAAATTGTTGCTCAGTTTAAAATTACGAATAATCTATTGTTTTATTTTAATCTGACTTGTAATTTATAGACTATTTAGGAAAATTATTATCTAAATTTATATTATTAAATAATTAAACATATTTCTTGTGTACATATTTGTAAGTAACAAATTCTTTAACTATGATATCTAAAAACAATTTCTCAATGAGAAAGTGGTGGCAGAATTAAAAGATGCAAATTCAAATATAAGTATATTTATGTACCACAATATGATTATGCGACATGATCCCTGAAGTGTCTTATTAGCTCTTGGCATTTCCGGCAAAATTAAATTCCTTTTAGCATCCAAATAGAGTCTCAGTGCTGCCATCTAGTGTGGCAGAATCTAGACGTCCAAATTAACATGACCAACGGTATCTCACCCATTGTGGTGGTCCTGAAAGAGTGGAGAACGCACTAGGTCTGCTCATCGGCAAGACCGATTGTGCAGCTCATTGGGAATAAAATGTACCACAATAACATGTATGCTTCAAAGTTATTTTTAATTTTTAGTTATGAATTGTTTATTAGAATTTATTTAACTTTGCTTAAAATATTCTAAACTTTTGCCCAACTTGTTAAACGCTAATGATAATATATATGAAGAAAAGCTGAATAATCGATGTTGGACATAATTATTCCATTTTTAATTTTTTAAAGTAAGTAATTTTGTCATTAAAAATAGTCAAGGTTTGCCTTGAATTTCGCCGCTATGAGGAAAATGCGAAATTATGAGTGTTTTCTCAAAAAACATTTTATGACATCGAGAATCTATGTTTTTCCACCTACATTGCTTACTAGCCTACAAATAGCCAATATTGCTTACCGTTTCTCTTTTTTCATCATGTGCTAAACGAATATTAAAAGAGGTGTTGGGTCATTCCATGTCAGTTCATCCAGCCATGGCACCCACCGTCTCAGATTTTGATGAAAATTTTTACACTTATAGAATTTTTTCTGCTGATTTCAAAAATGACAATTATATTTAAATCGGTTAAGGGGTTTAAAAGTTATAAGCATTTGTATTTTTGCCAAAATGGCACATTTGCCGCCATTTTGATTCATACATCAAAGGCTATTAATGATTGTAACTCACCTTATATTTGTGATAGAGCAATAATTTTTTTTTATTTTGTTCAGAATAAAGTAATCTGTCATATAAACACTTTTTTTTGCAAATAAGTATCTTACTTATTTAGTAAATGGGTCTGTTTTGCAGTTTTTTGATCAACGGAGTTGAGTAACTTCAGGATAATATTTCTGGCAACTCGCCCCCTTCAATTTCAAAAATATTTTATTCAAAGATAGTTGAAAGTGCAAACTAACATCTGATACAAAAATTTGGATGGGCCGTTCACTCACTTTTTAAAAAAAATATATTTTTCTTCTGAATCATTATGCGTTAAAAGTACTCGTAGTTTGATGATTTATAGTCCTTAATTATAACTAGAGTATAATAAAATGATACAAAAAATGTGAATGGTAGAAAAATATGTAAAATAAAGTAATCATTTATTAAATTATTTTTTTCTTCTTTCTTTGAGCCCTCCCCCCCCCACCCTCGAAAAAGAAAAGAAGAAAGGAAAAAATTTGAGCCTGAGCAAGACAAACACAATTTCTGGCCGGGAATTGCTGAAATTTGCAATTTAGCTCGGTATGTTTTAGCCTGATCTACACTTATGACATGAAGGGAGACTTTCTTGGTCTTATTGGAAGGAGAATTAAATAAGTCACAATTTTTTTTCATTTTCTTATATAGGGTGACCTTGGATAATTCCTGATCAAAAAATGCAAACATCTACTTTGTGAAAAAACTATTCAAGATAGAATTTCAATATTTACTGGAAGTTTGAGACTATATGAGATGAGTCCTATGCTACCTTCTTTTGTTGGAAAATCTAATTAGAATTTAAAAGATTTTAAATTCTTAGTGATCAGAAATTACCCCTTCTCTTGATCATTTCTGGGGTAATTCCTGATCACTTCTGGGGTAATTACTGATCACCAGTTTTTATAGTAAAGGGGTTGTTTAAAAATAATTATACAATGGTAATTAACAAATAAGACATCAAGATCAAACAAATAAACCAAAGAGATGTTTAAGCAGCTAATAAAACGATTTCTTTAAAAGCAAAGAATAAAGATTAACACTTTAAATTTTCCAAAAATCTTTGCATCGTGC